GGACAGAACAGTACATGTGGGAGGGAAGCAGAGTCATAGAGCAAATTATTTAAATTTCAGGCCTCTTTTTGTTGTTGTTAGTCTTCATCCAAGGATATTTTCCCATTGACTTTTAGAGAGAGTGGCATGGAGCGGGAGAAACACCGAGAGAGAAATATCAATGTGAGAGAGACACAGCGACTGGTTGCAAGCAACTGAGGTACATGGCCTTGATCAGAACCAAACCTGGGACCCTTCAGTCCTTGGGCTGAGGCTCTATCCACAGAATCAAACTGGCTGGGGCTGGACTCTCTCTCTCTCTCTCTTTTCAAATGTCCTCTTCTAGGAAATGAGGGGATGCAACAAAACGCAAGCAAGCCTTTGCAGAAAAAGTGACTTCTCCTTTGGTTGCAAGTGACAGAACCCCAGCTCAAAGAGGCCTAATAAAAAAAAAAAAGGCGGGGGTCGGGGGGAGGGCGTATGTCTTGGATCACACAGTTGAACAATTGAAGAGTGGACCTAGCCTTCAGGGTCAGGCAGAGCTGCATCTAGACATTCAGACAACGCCGCCAGCAATCTGTCACTCTCCATTTACCCAGTAGGCCAAACCGATGAGAGCATAGAAATCTGCGAGCTTTACCAACGTCTGGAAATGTGTTGGCGATTCCCCGAAAGGTTGCTTGGCTTCAAAATGTGAGAAAAAGAACGAACGTGACCAGCTAGCAGACGTGTCACCGTGGAGGCCAGCTGCTCCCCAGCCCGGCCCTCCCCTCATCGCCAAGGCCGGCAAGTACCTGTCACCCTCATCCGTGTCCTCTTTGCCGTCCTTGACCGTGTTCACCGTCATCTCCTTGACGCTCTCTCCCCAGCTTCCTGGCCCCCCACTCTTCCTCCTGCCGCTCCTACGTCTTCTTTTTGGCTGTGCTCTGCTGAACGAAGGATGACTTAAAGGGAGCCGGGAGGAGGGCTGGGAAGAGAACGCGCACACAGGCACAGCCCGGGTCACCGAGGAGCTGGGAGGAGACAAGGTGATGGGGTAGAGCCCGAGGTTGGGGATGGAAGAAGGACCAGATCGAGAAGGTCTTTACAAGTCGCGCCAGGAGCTTGGCTGGTCTCTTGAAGGCAACAGGGAGCCACTGAAGGGGTCAGATGATCAGCATGTGTTAAGCTGTCAGAAGGAGACCTCCGGCTGCGAGGTGGAGGCAGCATTCCAGGGGGACATCAGGCTGTTGCCAGAATGGAGGAGACACACTGTGGGGAAGCAGGGGACTGGGCTGGAAGGTCTGTGAGGAGGATTCTCTGAAAGGTCGGGGCCTCTGAGGGACCTGGCCGAAGGCGGCGGCCCCTGCCTTGACTTTTCCAAACAAGTCCGATCCCCCGGGGTGTTTTGCTAGAACCTCTATGTTTAGTCTTTAAAGACCTGACCTTGTAGAAGTGTGTGCTTTCTCAAGGGTACTTGCCCTGCTGATTGTATCTAGAGGTTAATTTGAGGTCAAGCTATTGTGACGATAAAAGCCAAAGGAGGCAAGCGAACAGGGCGACTTGGCGGCCATAGCCCCCTCTCTCACAGACACGTGTGTCAAAGTCATCATTCATCCGTCATTCCAGGTCTGCCCGTCAGTCCCGGCAAAAGATGCTGGTGCCTGATGAAGCAGTGATGGTGGGAAAAAGCGGTGAGTTCGTGAGGCATTGACAGGACTTGGTGCTGCTTAGATGTTCGAGGTGAGGGAGCCAGAGGTGTTAGGAATGAGTCTCGGGTTTCTGCTTCTAAGGTGAGGAGCAGAGCAGTGCGTTTGGAGGGGAAGTGATGAGCTAGGTTCATTCACACTTTGGAGGTGCCTGAGGTCTCTGGCTGAGTGTCCGGAGGCAGGGTGCTCTGTGGGTCTGGAGTTGGGGAGCGAAGTCAGGGTTCCCACGTCACTGCCCAGTCAGCAGCAGGACTTCTGGGAGGAGACAGAGGTGCCGACCTCCTGCCTGATCAGAATAAAGAACCTCCGTGACCATGGCTGACCACAGAGCAACCTCGCAGCAGGATGCGCCCTGGGAGGAGCTCTGAGGCCTGAGGGGAAGGGGAAGGAAGAGGAGGGGACAGAGCCGGCCTGTTCAACCCTCGGCTTTTCTCTGCAGACCTGGAGGCTGCAGCTGAGGCTGAAACACCAGCTGGCTCCTCCAGGGCATCGGCTTCTCTGGGGCTGGCAGCCTCCCGGGCAGGACTGTGGGGAGCTCATCCGCTGAAGGACTTGGGGGACTGAGCTGCAGCACCTGAGCCGAGGTGGGTGCTGGCCGGGGCGGGGTCTGCAAGGGGGGGAGCGGGAGAGGCAGATGGGAGCAGAGCAGATGGGGTGCCTGGAGGAGGGATGCTGGAGGGGGGTCCAGGGAAGGGCTGAGGCAGGCCTGGCTCTGAGGAACTCAGGCCCAGCCTCTCTGAGAAGGGTTACCCAGATCTGGCGGCTACTAGGACCACGCAGCCAAGTTAAGATTGCTCAGCCCATTTTCACAAGAAGAAAGGACACGGGCCGGTGTGAGAAGACCTCTCCTTTCTTCTCCGAATCTTGCAAATGCCAATAATCATAAGATTAATGTATAATAATCGTAAGACTACAGCCCCGTCCGTGCTGTAGAGTCCAGTCCCCATCCCGCTGGATTCTCGTGAGCAATGAGAGGCAGTAGGCTGGATACGTGTTCTAACGCCCATTTCATAGACCGGGAGACTAAAGCTTAGAGAGATAAGCAACTTACCAAAGATTACAGGGTGATAAGCAGCTCAGAACGAGCCTTCTGGGTCCCTCTGCACCCCTTCTGGGGCGGCCTCTGCCCACCCCTCTCCCGGGGAACCTGGAGCCAGAGAGGCCAGTCTGGCCTCTCTCTCCACACACGTGGATCGAGCATCTTCTACACGTGCAGCCAGCGTGAGTCCAGCCAAGGCCGGTCTCCATCCTTGGGAAGCTGGCCGGCTGGTGTGGGGGTTGAGGCCTGGCTACGAATGACTAACAGAGAAGGGCAAACGCGCCAGAGCCGTGGGCGGGAGAGGTGTGAAGGCGGAGGTTGGTGCTGGGTGTGGGATCAGGAAGGGCTTGGCGGGAGGTGCACCTGAGCCTTGAATGAGGCAGATGGTTTGTGTGCAAACACGAGGCGCGTGTGCAAACCCATGGAGCAGGAGAGTGGCTGTGAGAGGTGGCGTTAAAGGAAAGAACGGCTGGAGGTTCAATTTGGACACCAAAGTGTAGAGTTTACGGAGGACTTACAGGTCTGGCCTGTCCTGTTTCTTTATTTGGTTTTAAGTGGATTGTGAATATGATCTCATTTAGCCTTCGCAGTAATCCTGTGAGCAGGTGTTATTATTAAGTCTCCTTTTTAAATATATATTTTTATTGATTTCAGAGAGGAAGGGAGAGGGAGAGACAGAAACATCAATGATGAGAGGGAATCATTGATTGGCTGCCTCCTGCACACCCCACACTGGGGATCAAGCCCACAACCCGAGCATGTGCCCTGACCAGGAATCAAGCTGTGACCTCCTGGTTCATAGGTCGGTGCTCAACCACTGAGCAACACTGGCCAGGCCATTAGGTCTCCTTTAAAGTTAGGGAAACTGAGGGGCAAAGGTTTTAAGCTACTAGTCCAAGTTGCCATAGCAATAGAGAGGGCTGAACCCAGGCAGCTCAGCACCCACGCTACCCGCACAGCCGCTCGCCAGGGCCTGCGCGCCCCTCTGTTACCTCGGAGAGATTGTCTCCCGGACTGGCAGTGGGTGGGAAGGCCACGCTGCAGCCAGCGCCATCTCGTCCTGCCCCAAAGCTTCCCGGCCTGCGTGCAGCTCCCTGCCCCCGGGAACAATGCTCTCCCCTCACCCTCAGAATGGCCTTCCAACAGCCAGGTGTTTCCTTCCGGGTTCTTGGCAGACATAGAGGAGGAAATGGGCCGCCCCATCCACAGGGAGCAGCCACAGGGGAGCGGGCCGTCCCCTCCCCGACCCCGCAGGATCTGGAAAGCCTCACGGGGTGAGGAATAAGGGGTGAGGGGTGAGGGAACCCTCATTCCTACTCCCTCCCGCTGCTGTGAGTCTGCTACCACATGCTCTAAACCAGACAACCAGGTGTGTTGTCTGGCCAGCTTGACTGTCTCAATGGAAAGAGTACCTGCCCCTGACGCCCTGGGCGTGAGGCAGCAGTGGTGGGAGGAGGGAAAGTGGATTCCTGGAGAGCAGGGAGGTGCAGGCTTAGGACGTCCCTTCTCTCTGTGCCAGGCTGTGGGCAGAGGGCATGAGGGAGGCAGAGGTGCAATCCTGGGAAATCCACATCTTTTTTCCCAGGTTTCAGTCCGGAAGGGGTAGCCACAGGGCGATTCGGGGGGTGGTTCTTCTGTCTGAACAGCCTGCTCTAGGAGCCAGCAGTAAGAGCTTGAGGTGCTGGGGTGGGCAGGGATGGTCAGAACCTGGGGTCTTTACTGTGAAACCCTGACCCAGTCCTCTTCACATCCTCCCCTAAGTCCAGCTTACTCCAGTTCTTCCTCTCCGGAAGCCTTCCCAGGGTACTTGCATCAACTACGGACAGTGGCAGCTGTGAACGCACTCCCATCGGCCACTTCTTGCTGCCTCCCAACGAGCACCTCTATGGTTCTGTGGGCAGTCCTGGGGCCTGCTTTTCCCTAAGGCAGTGACCAGTGTGGTCTGCCCCAGGACTGCTCACTGTGGATGTGCTGTATTTAAAGAGATAGGCTCTTGAAATTCCAATTCCTTCATTCACTTATTTATTCACCCATTCTCTTTGTCTCTGGTCTGGTCCCTCTGTCAAGAACAATGAGGGGTCTAAGGTTTTACTCTACTTATAATTAACTGCAGGGGCTGACCGGCAGACCCTGCGCTACAGATGAATGATTACTCTGACACTAGTTTCTGTGAAAGAGAAGGCTAAGGGACTGCTTGGTTTGAGAAACCAAACAGCCCCCTTCACCTGCCTCCTCAGGCTTTTATTGTAACAGCAGCTTGAATGAAAATTAACTGTTAGATATTATCAGGAGGGTAAGCAGCCTGGAGAAGACACATGCTTCTGCAATGTCCTTTAAGCAAGACCGTCTAAAGACTAAACATAAATATTCCAGTAAAACACCCGGGCACTCAGGCTTGTTTGGAAAAGTCAAGGCAGGGGCTGCCACCTTCAGCAAGGTCCCCCTAGAGGCCCCTGACCTTTCAGAGATCCTCCTTACAAACTTTCCAACCAAGTCCCATGCTTCCCCAAATCTCCCCCTTTTTGTTTTGCGGGCTGCAGAAGACAGAGGGATGCAGTGAACTTTCTGCTTTGGAATATCGGGGTCCGCAAAGCACGTTTACTGCTTGATTTCTGATTTTGTAGACTATAAGAAAAACAAAGGGAATTACAATGACAGCAATGATTAGTCCAATCAGGTACTAATTAATTCAAGGAAACCATGTGGTGGGGTCTAGCCACTCCAAATGCTGCTTTACCGTTTCCAAGCAGCAGTCTGGTTTTCATGTTCATTGATAGCAAGAAAG